ATATCTCATAGTTGTTTTGATTTGCATCTCTCTTAGAGCTAGGGATTTTGAACATTTCTTCATGTGCTTGTTGGCCTTCTGAATGTCTTCTTTGGTGAAGTGTCTATTTATATCCTGTGCCCATTTGTCAATTGGATTATTTACCTTTATCTTGTTGTGGTGCTCAAGTATTTTATAAATTCTAGATATAAGTCCCTTATCTAACATTTTCTTCACACAAATTTTAGCAAGAACACTAGAATAAGTTCTGTGTCTTATAATTGACAAATCATAAACATCTTATGCAATCCTCTGCATGCAGATGTACGTATTTGGAGTTGAACATTTTTCTGTGTAACCTTTGAAACTTGAGCCATATACTGCACAGTTACCATTCTGCATTTCAATTATTGTTAACCTAGAGTGGAGAGAAGGGCAAAGTGTGTTTAATCATTAAGGCAGAGATTTAAGTTGAGATTATGATTATTGTACTTTAAAATAAGTATTTAATACAAAATAGGGAGGAAAAATAGCAACTTTTTAGGGATTCACAATTCAAGATGTTAAAAACATGATGCATGGACCTTAATATAAATATATATAAAATAGAACCAGTTCAAATTAAAAAATATTTAATTGTTGTTGTTAAGTGTCATTGAGTTGTAAACGACTCATAATGACCCTATGAATGAAAGATCTGAACACTTGTATAACTTTCATCCTTTTTCCATGTTCATAGAGTTTCTGAAAGAAAGCTATTTCACAAGTAGATGCCACTCCTCCTTCCAAGCTTGTTTGAATGGGGGAGCAACACCAAACACTGTCCACCATGAGTAACCATTATCCCATTTGACACATCAATGTCACAGTGTTTAGCATCACAGCAAACATGAGTTACCTCTGTACAACAAATGTATAGACCAGTGCTATACCACTTAGATGAATGTTTGACCAAAAACGATTAAAACCAGGCCTGAGGGCTGCAGATTAAAATCACCCACTTTTAGCTTGGTAGCATCACATTCTATCCACTAGGCCAAGAAAGCTCTCTCTATGTTGTTGTTAAGTGCCATTGAGTTGTAGAGGACTCACAGTGAGTGACCCCATGAATGAAAGACAAGCACTTGTATAACTTTCATTGTTTCTCCACATTCATAGAGTTTTTGGAGGCAAGCTATTTCAGAAGTGGATGTCACTCCTGTTTCTAAGCTTGTTTTAATTGGGAAGCTCCACCAAACATAATACTGTGTTTGTTTTTCTTTTGAGAATGAGTGGATTCAGAAGATCTACACTCTCTTCATGAGTGTACTTGAGTGAAATAGAAGCTTTAAATGAGTATTTAAACAAAAAGAATTGGCTTTAAAATGAATAAAATGTAATTTAGATTCCAATGGATATTGTCTTTTATGAAAAAATAGTTATCTTCAAATATATGGAATTTCATATGGTAAGAAAGAACACTATCATGTCCATATACAAACATATATATATTATATATGTTATTCTGATATCTTGATTATCCTGAAAATTATACTTAAGAAATAAATATTGACTTATTTTCTGTCATAACAAGGTAGGAAATCAATTACTAATAGAAGTGTAATGATGACGGTTGTGTAAAAGCCATTATATTTAGCCTCTTCTGGTCTCCAGCTACCTTAACTGCAGACATACAGTCTTGCATATCAGTGTGGTCTTGCAAATCACCAACAGCTTTGAGACTAGTATCAGAAAAAAAGTGCTTCCCACATTAAGTAGCAACACCTGAGGTGAGCCAGACTTTGGTGGGAAGACTTGAGAGAGACAGGAGCAAAACCCTGGTGATAACAAGACCTTGGTGATGGTGGTAGAGAGACTGTGGCATTGCTGTGGAGAAACTGTGGCAAAGTGTGACCTGAGGTTTCTTGCATTTGTGCTGGACACAGTTAAAGGTTTTATTGTTTTTGCCAAATGTTTGAAGGAGAAGCTGATTTATAACTGCTCTGAAGCAAACCTTGCTGAATGATTTGGATTTGACTGCTGAACTGAAACGGAGCCTGGACTAGTTGAGGAGTTGTGCCTTGGAATGTGGCTAAAGCCTGGACTTGTATTGGGTGATAATATTTGTCTCCCATAATTCTCAACTTCCTCCCCTAATAAATGTCATTGTTGATACCATAACTGTGAGCCAGCAATGAATAAACAAATCTCTTTTTGCTAGTATGGCTCCATAGGCACCGTGGACCTGGGCTATGAGCTCTTTACCTGCTTTCTGCTCTAAGACAATGAGGGACTATGCTATTCTTACTCTCTCTGGCCCTTTCAGAAAGACATTCATGGTCTTGCTCCTCCCTGTACAATTTTCTGCTTTGTAGACAATGATTGAATGTAAAATTAACATGTTTGTGAAAAAAATATCACATTGTTATGAAGTCTGCATCTAAAAGTGTGAGAGAATTAACTCTGCTGATATAAAACCAGAAAATATTAACAGCTTCAGGGAGTCACAATTCAAGGCCTTAACTTTCAAAACTAACTTTAAATCTGCATTCCTAAGCCTTAGAATAACAGAATATTATCACTGAGTGCTGGTATGTAGAACTTGAGTGTGTGCGTTAAATGATTGATGAAGAAGAATGTGGTATCACAATTGGAAGAAGACTCAGCAACAACCTGTGTAATGCAGATGACACAACCTTGCTTGCTGAGAGTCAGGAAGAGGCATTGATGCTTGCTGCAGAATATCGAGGACTACAGACTTTAATATGGACTATATGTCTATACTAAGAAAACAAAATTCTTTACCACTTAGCCAATATATGACATCATGATACATGTAGAGAAGACTGAAGTTGTTAATGATTTCATCTTACTTGAGTCCACAATTAACCTCCTTGGCACCAAAAGTGAAGAAATAAAATGTGTTATATTGGGGAAATCTGTTGTCAAAGGTTACTCAAAGGTGCTCAGGAGCTGTGATTTCACTTTAAAGACTAAGGTGTGCCTGATTTAAGCCATACGTAGTCTTTTCTATTACTTGCTATGCATCTGAAAACTGTATAATGATTAAGGATGTTAGAAGAGTTGCTGTCTTTGAGTTGTGTGTTAGAGAGAGTACCCGCAGACTGTTGAAAGAACAAAAATATGTTTTAGAGAATGTGCAGCCACTCCTTGGAGGCAAGGATAATAAAACTTCATCTGACATACTTTTAGCATGTTGATAGAAAAGGTAAATTCTTGGGAAAATATAGTATTTTTTGAAATATCTGCAAATGAGAGGAAAGTCCTTGACAAAACGGATTGTCACAGTGACTATAAAACTGGGATTGAGTATATCAGGGATGATGAGGTTGGTGCAGCATAGGACAGGGTTCAGATCTATGGTTTATAATGTTCCCATGCATCTTAGTGAACACAGCTACACCTAACAACTACACAAAATGACACAAAAAAAGAATATGAGGAATACTTAAGAGTCCAAAGAAATAAAAAAAGAGAACAAAACTCCTTGAGTTCAGAGATCAGGGTACTGTATATCAGAGTGCTAACACAGGAAAGAAATAATGGAGATAATTTTAAAAGCTCTTTTGACTACTGGCAGAGTACTTTTAGTGAGTGTTTGTGTATGCATGCATGTGTGTGGGCATACTTGCATATTTGTTAACTACCTAAAGCAAGAAAAAAAAATTCAAAAGATTTAGATCAAACATTACTCCATATTTATATAAGGAACTCACACTCACTGCCATTAAATCTATTGCAATTTATAGCAATCCTCCATTGTGTTTCTGAGACCATAAATCATAATTAGAGGGTATTTCTCATCTTGCTCCTGAGAAGTTACTAGTGGATGCCAACGACTGGATCTGCAGGTCTTTTGGTTAGCAGCACAATATGCTGTAGAATCTGGAATCAAACTTGTTCCCACTAGCTGTACTGTAAAGACTCTTAATTCATTAGTCTTTGCATAACTTACATAGAAAGATTATTTTCTTAGTTGAAGATAACTAGCTATAAACTAAATATTATTCCTAATAATACTTAAAACTAAAGCATAAATAGATCAGAACATATAAGTAACTTTCTTAAATTCCAAAATAGAAAACAACCCTACCAACAACCAATGTCTTGTTTAAAGAAGAAAAACTGTGCAATATGAAATAAAAAAAACCAACAACATCAAGAGTCCTAATATAATCATAATGAAGAAGAAAATAAGTCTTTAAAAATGTAGCCAATGTTGAATTTGGTACAGAACATCATTGAAATACAGCCCATTCCATTTGGTTAGAAATTACATGCAGACATGGAAAAGATAAAAATATATGTTTAAGTTCTAAAATGAAAAGTACAATGCATTTAGAGGAAAGATATAATGATAAGATAGGTGAAAGATTATATTTTGCAGAAGTAGAGATCAAGAATTTAAATTAATGATGATTTAGATTATGACCCATTATATCACAAAAAAGATGTAAAAGCAGAATGGATCATCAGTAAACAAGGCTTCATGTTCCAGTGATTAAAATCTGGTGGCATAGTCTATAGCATGTTACACTGCTGCCAAGATGGATTGTCACAGTGGCTGTAAGAATGGCATTGGGTATATCTGGGACGGTGAGTTTGGCTACATCTCTGGTGGTATGAAAGAAATAAATATGGTGAACTTCCTCCATTAAAGATTCACAACCTTAGACATTCAGTGAAGGATTTC